CACCACAATTTTTAAAAAGGGAATAAAGAGAAACTCCCCACTGCTATAACACGTATCACCTTCCACAGCCAGGGCCTCCGTGACACCCAGCACTTGCCCGGCACACAGCCTTCATTACCGCGACAACTGGGAGGACAGCAAAGGCTCGGGGTGGGGCGAGTCCTCCAAGTTTCAAGTCCCACTCAGCACTCAGTCTCTGCTCAACCGCTCAGCCGGTGCAGCCGGGGAGTGGCCTTGGGAGGGCTCAGCAGGCACTGGTCTTCAACCCTCAGCAGAGGTCCCACACTCTCTCCCACCAGGCCCCTTGCAATGGCAGTTTCCCAGGTACTCCCTGGGCAAGTGAGAGCAGCTGGTGTGAGCACTGAGCATCAGGACCCCTAGGGCGGTGCCTGGCACGGCCTCCTGTCCCCATCACTCTGAAGCCATGGGCCCTGCTCAGCCCAGGGTCCTGGGTCCTCCACAGTCATGCCCAGTGCAATGGGAGCTTGGGGGTGTGGGCACAGGAGTGGCTCACCAGCAACAGCAGACAGTGCGGGGGATAGGGGTGGGCAGAGTGCACAGAGGCGGGCGAGCAGGTGCTTACCGGCATGAGCCCATTACCAAAGAGCACGCAGGCCAGAAGGGAAGGCGTGGTGTTTCCCTGTGATGCCGCCTCCACAGAGCCGCCGCAGGTCTGAGTTACAGGGTGCCCTTGAGCCTTGTGCATGCAGGGCTCCCATGCCTGGTCCAGGGGCCCCTGGGAAGTGGCCTCCTGCTGTGTGGATGTCAGGGGCTGTAGGGAACCCTGTCCCCATTCCTAGGCTCTTCTGGATCAGTGTTTAGAAAGTGCATGTGACGTGGCATCAGGAGCATGAGTAATAGGAACTAGCAGTGAAGGCACAGATCCCCAAACACTCGGCTTAGTTCAGTGCTCATCTGACTGGTGTGAAGGTCATCAAGGAAAACAGCATCACAAAACCTCGCAGACCCCCAGAATCGACCTCCTGCCTGCATTGTGATGAACGCCTGACATGAACAGCCTGGAAAAGCAGGAAGGCACAAGACACTGAGAGCCTGAGAGGAGGAGGAGCCTGGCCTCCCTGCCCCTCCTCACTCACAGGCAAGGCCCACTCCTGCCTGGCTGGTCTCAGAGGGTGGGTACCTTGTCCAGTGTCCCCCCAGAGCCCAGCCCCACCATCCCCTCTGCCTATAACTCGCCCTCCGACTCCCAGGGCTGGGGTGGCTCCTTCTCCACACTCCCACGGGGGCCAGGCAGGAGAGCAACGCTTGTGTCAGGTGTGCTCTGGACAGATCATGGTGTCCCCACAGTGTTGCCCCTGGGACCGTGGGGGCCAATGTCACATGGGGCTGTCGGCCCCAACATGGTCGGTGAGCTCAAAGAAGCCAGGGTGGTCACACTCTGATCAAGACCCTGAGCCCAGGCAGGGAGACACTCTGTGAATATGATTATCTTTTGTTCCTTAGGTCTGCAGGAAACCACCGACATCCTCCCACCCCACGACTAGGAGAGGACACAGGTGACTTGAGGGAAGTTTACATTATAGACATCAGGGACAGAGAAGTGAGGGAAGGCAGACCAGAAAGAGGGTCCCTGAGGATGATACAATGTGTTCTCCACTTCCTAAAAAAGAGAAACATAAAAGGAAAGAAAAGCAGTTACCTTCTGAAGATGGTTTCATAGAAAGCAGGGAGCCCAGAATGACTGCGGAATGTTTCAGCTAATCACCAGAGCAGGTCCACGGGGGACATGATGCCAGGGGCGGGCAGAGGGTTTCTGCCACAGACGCGAGGACAGAAACACCTGGGTCCCCCCATGCCCAGAAGCCGCCAGCCCACATCCCCCTGTGAGCCGCACAAGAGCCTGGCCGCACCCGCAGACTCGCCCATTGTGGCCCCAGGCTCTGCTTCCTGGGAACCCTCTGACTTGCACAGAACGAGTCTTGCGGCTTTCCCGTTACCATGTGTGTTTGCATTTGCTGTTTATGGAGAGGTCAGAGGCAGTGGCAGACTGGCCGCCCCATGCCACGAGGCAGGAGGCTGAGGCATCACCCAAGCACCCACTAGGACCTGCGCCCACAGGGACCAGCCATGGCACATCTGTTCCTAGAAGGAGCCTCGGCAAGAGTGCAGCAGACTTCTTTCCCACCATCGGCTGCCAGTGAGGCTCCCATCCACTCTCCCACCAGACCCAGTGTCTGTCTACACTGAGTGTCCACCTGGTTCCTGGAGACAGAGGGACATGGACACAGCAACCCCAAAGCAGGACAAGATAGATGATGCAACGTGCGCTGGAGTGTCCCAGGGAACTGCTAGACACCACCTCCAGTTCTACCGTGTCCAGGTCCCACAGCCATGGCGTGGCCCCCAGCGGATTCCACAGCCGAAAAGAGGAGCAGACAACAGAAGCAAGCCGAGCGCTCTGCAAACTCACCTCCTACAGCCCCCGCCCTCCCTCTGCCCTCCGCCGCCACGTGAGCAGCAGCCAGGCCCCCACAGAGCAGACAGCAGGGCTCACTGCACCATCCCCGCCTGGGCCCCGCCTGGCCTTTGTGGTCACAGCCGCTCTCTCCTGAGCACCCCTGTTGCAACCCACACCACCACTGGGACACGTTTCAGCGTGATGGCTTTAATAGCATCTGCAACGAAACCACAGCTGGATGACGGGAGGAAGGGGGTTTCGTGCATTTTTGTTTTCCCCAGAAATGTAACTCACTCTGGCTTCTGCTTTAGCTTCAACTGTGCACTAGGAATTCTCTAAATAGGAAACACATGTATTGCCTCAAAAAGATGGTCCCCTGTTACAACCAGGCCCCTCTTGCAAGGAAGGGGGCCCGCATCTGACCAATGTGCTGCCCTTGCCCCCTAGGCCCTCCCCAGCCACCCCTCAGGTCACTGCTTCCTCCCGCTCCGCTGCTGGCCTTAAAGCCAGAGCCCTGAGTGTGGAGGCTGCTCCTTCTGGCGTTGAGTCACTGGGCTTGCTGGATATCTAATGATGACTCCCACACAGTCCCAGGGTAGATGCAGCCTGGATCGTCCTGGGGAGCCCCGCTCACCCGCAGCTCCACGCAGGCACCTGAGCACCTCCCCATCGCTCCTGGGTTTGAGGGGAAGAACATGCCACACGTGGCAGGAGATCCTGATGTGTGGACACTGGAGGGCCTCTCCAACTACACGGCCACCATCACAGTTAACAGATAAGCTTCCGACTTTGCATCCTAAAGCTTCGTTCCTACTTCAGTCTAAACACAACCGTGGAACACAGTGAGCATCTCAGCCGTGGACACCTTTGTGGGGTGTGGGAGTGGGGTGTGCTGACATTCTGCCAGTCCCAGCCATGCACCCTGAGGCGCTCTCAGGAGCATGGCTGGGGAAGAACCAGGTAAGCCTGTCTTTATAGTAGTATTGGGATTTCTCAAAAACCCTGAGCAAACGAGACCCAGGCCAAGAACGTTTTGGAGGCAATGAGTGTATGTGAAGGTGACTAGGAACCTGCACAGTGAGCTGGCAACACCTACCAGGCAGCGCTGTGTGTGCCATTACCAGACATGACTAAGTGAAGCTGGGAGGAAAAAGTGACAAGCTGTGTCCACTTGAATTACCCCAGAGCAAAGATGAACACCTTTTTCCCCAAACAAGCTGGCCTCAGGAGTTAATGCATACACAGACACATAAAGTAAGAACTGGTTTTCAAAAACAGGCATAAGAGACAGAGCGTCTTTATCCACCTCCTGGTGGCCATGGGCAGAGCTACCCACAGAACACTCCCTCCAAAAACAGGGCCGGGCCTGACAGAGCCCCAGACCCACCTGCCGACTCAGAGGCTCAGGGACGAGGAGCCCACGCCCTGCGTGGACACAGAACTGCAAGATCCAAAGTGCACGGTCTCAGCCCAAAAAACAGCTTCGCTTTTTCAAGGAATCAACTGCAAGGGAAGACAGGACGGAAGCTGCACCTGGAGATGAGCTGCGTGCACACCACGCACCTGTGGGACACGCCCTTCAGCCAGGGCTCGGCAGGTCAGAGCACTGCCTGCAGACTGGATGGTGCCGAGGGACAACGTCCTGTCTCCTAAGGCGAAAATGGATGAATGGCTCTTTCTGAATGGCTCTCATCCTTTAATGATACATAGGGAGATACTTACAAACAGAGGGATATGATGACTGGATACAGCTTCAGAAACTACTTGAGAAGGCAAAAGGAAAGCCAGTAGAGTGGCCAGTAAGCCCTGGACAAGACAGGGGTGTTGACACTGAACAGTAAAATTCCAGCCTCCTCGGCACAAAGTGCTCAGCTTCCTTAAGAACCAGTGCTCAGCACATGAGAGCTGAGTGAGCCCTCACCCGACTGTGCATGTACACATGTAGTGCACACAGAGTACGCAACACACAGCAGGCGTGTGCCAGCATGCACGCACAGAATACAGAGCACACGTGCATATACATGCACAGCACACACAGACACAGAGAACATGCGCATGTACAGGCATAGTACACGCACACTCCACATACAACACAAACACACATGCCCATGCACTGCACACAAGGTACAGATAGCACATTTACACACAGCACACACATACACATGCACATGTAATATACACGTGTACTAACAGTATAAGTACATGCATAGCATGTGTACACGGAGAATACACAGTACACATAAATGCACGTGTGTACAGTACATGCACATGACACACAGCAAGCACATGTACATGCGCAGTAAACATAAACACCTGTGTGCACACACACGTGCACATGTACAATGGGTGCAGGTGATAGCCAGGGCAACCATGTGTACTCCTTCCAGAAGGCGTGTGGATCTGGGATGGACACTGCCTTTCCTCCCTCCCTGCAGCTGCTGAGTGGAGGCCAGTACCTCCTCCTGGGTGTGAGGCCAACACGGATGACCCAGAGCTTGTTTGTGGTCAGGAAAGCAAAGGGAGCAGCCTGTGGGAGGACCGGGACACAGCGCTGGCTGGCGTGGCACTGGGGACACCTTACCTGGGTTAGTTCCTGGGTATCTGCCTCAGACAGGGCTGGCGGGCTCATCTGCAGGTGCAGTGCCGTGCCCTCCTGGTCTCCTGCGGGCAGCTCACGATGCAGGGCGCGGCCCATCAGCCCAGATGCTGCAAGAAGAGCAGATGGTCAGTAGCGACATCTCTCGGAGGTGCGACAGCCCTCACGCGCTCTGGACGGCAGAGCAAGGTCTTTGAGGCGGTGTTCCTCCGCCACCACACGCAGGACTGCTTCCTGTCCTGGCCTCTGTGAGCCTTGCCTTACCGGCCAGCCCTGAAGGATCAGGGTCTGCAACACTGCAGACACGCGGGGCCGCTCTCCACCTCTCAGAGTAAGAGGCCTACACCCCACACACAACACTGCAGACACGCAGAGCCTCTCTCCACCTCTCAGAGTATGAGGCCTACACCCACGTGCAACACTGCAGACACGCGGGGCCGCTCTCCACCTCTCAGAGTAAGAAGAGGCCTACACTCCACACACAACACTGCAGACACGCGGGGCCGCTCTCCACCTCTCAGAGTAAGAGGCCTACACCCCACACACAACACTGCAGACACACGGGGCCTCTCTCCACCTCTCAGAGTATGAGGCCTACACCCCACACACAACGCTGCAGACACACGGGGGTCGCTCTCCACCTCTCAGAGTATGAGGCCTACACCCCACATACAACACTGCAGACACGCAGGGCCTCTCTCCACCTCTCAGAGTATGAGGCCTACACCCCACGTGCAACACTGCAGACACGCAGGGCCGCTCTCCACCTCTCAGAGTATGAGGCCTACATCCCACGTGCAACACTGCAGACACGTGGGGCCGCTCTCCACCTCTCAGAGTAAGAGGCCTACACCCCACACACAACACTGCAGACACGCGGGGCCGCTCTCCACCTCTCTGAGTAAGAGGCCTACACCCCACACACAACGCTGCAGACACGCGGGGCCGCTCTCCACCTCTCAGAGTAAGAGGCCTACACCCCACACACAATGCTGCAGACACGCGGGGCCGCTCTCCACCTCTCACAGTAAGAGGCCTACACCCCACACACAACGCTGCAGACACGCGGGGCCGCTCTCCACCTCTCAGAGTATGAGGCCTACACCCCACATGCAACACTGCAGACACGCGGGGCCGCTCTCCACCTCTCAGAGTATGAGGCCTACATCCCACGCGCAACACTGCAGACACGCGGGGCCGCTCTCCACCTCTCAGAGTATGAGGCCTACATCCCACGCGCAACACTGCAGACACGCGGGGGCCGCTCTCCACCTCTCAGAGTAAGAGGCCTACATCCCACGCGCAACGCTGCAGACACGCGGGGGCCGCTCTCCACCTCTCAGAGTATGAGGCCTACATCCCATGCGCAACGCTGCAGACACGCAGGGGCCACTCTCCACCTCTCAGAGTAAGAGGCCTACACCCCACACACAACACTGCAGATCCGCGGGGCCGCTCTCCACCTCTCAGAGTATGAGGCCTACACCCCACACACAACACTGCAGACACGCGGGGCCGCTCTCCACCTCTCAGAGTAAGAGGCCTACATCCCACGCGCAACGCTGCAGACACGCGGGGGCCACTCTCCACCTCTCAGAATATGAGGCCTACATCCCACATGGTATTTTTTTTTTTTTTTTTTTTGAGAAAGACTGAAGATCTGCAGCATAAAACACAAGAATCATTGAGCCCTGGTGAAATGCACGTCAGACGCATGACTGGGGAACTGCAGTGACATCTGAGCTGCTCTCCAGAAGGCTGTGGTTCCCGAGAGCACAGGAAGTGGCCCGCGGCCCAGGGCCAAGCACAGCCACCATCCGCGCCACCGAGGTGGGAGGTGAGTCAGAGCTGCCCATGGTCAGGCTCAGAAAGGACCTGGGTGTTTCCACCCTGCAGTGAGCCTGGGGTGCTCCAGGCCACCTGCCAGGGGCAGTCTCACCCCACAGAAGGTGGCCCGGTGTGCCTCCCGCAGAGGCCACCTGCCCTTTATTTACAGAGCAACCTCAACGGCAGCCTTGACACCCCAGGGCCCAGATAAGAGTGCAAATAAAGCCTCTTGTTTGCTCTTCTGCAGGACACACAGCTCCCCCACATCTGGTGCAGCTGCCATTTACGAGGATGCCAGGAAGCAGGCAGGGAAAATGCAGCTGCAGTGCCAGCTCCCGATGGGGCAAGCAGGCAGCCTCAGCGTCCTCCCCAGGATCCTACCTCAGCCTGTATAGCCCATGCTTCCCACTCTTGATGAATGTAGCAGCCTGGGAGCAGTGGCTGAGCATGCCCTCAGAAAAGGAGACGAAAGGGGGGACATCTGGAGGCGCACTCTCGCTGGGACCAGGGCACGGCCCCTCTAGCTTATTACCTCCTAAATGATCCTTAAAAGCTCACCTTCCAACCCCACCTTCCACAGGGGAGATGCCACCTCCAACATGCCACCCCCACCAGTCTATCACCCCCCAAATGATCCTTACAAGCTCACCTCGGCTGAGCAGAGAAGGACTGGCCTTGCCCAGGGCCACAGGGGACTCGGCACAGGGATGGCCCTAAAGAGGGAATGGCTCCAGGCCCAACAGATGGGTGCAGGTGCAGTGGGGGAGTCAGTGAGACTCAGTGGGAAGTAATGGGCTCTCCTCACAGATGGCACCTGTGGGACATGGCCCAGAAGGCTGTTTTCATAACACACTCTTCAGGAACAGAATCTGGTTGCAACCAACCACAATGATTTCACAACCTGGGTTTGCAACACCCATGTTGTATGCGGGTGCTCTCTGGGGAGCTGCGGCCCACTACTGCACATCTGTGAATTTGTGCATTCCCCGACGGAGCCCACAGGCCCTCACGTGAAGCTGCTCTGAGGAGCCTCTCTCTGAAATGCTGAGCCATAGTGCACAGGCCAAAGGATGCGTGCCCCTGGTGACCTGAGATCACAAGGTGGTCCCGTCCACCTCGCAGCACCAGCACAGCCTTGGCCATGGGAATGGAAGAGCACCAGCTGCCCAGCCTGTACTCTGCCAGCGCCCCTTTCTCCGAGAGCCCCCACACTCCACCCCGCCCCGCCCCAGGCTCTTGTGGTCTGGCCTGTAGTTTGCTGCATGAAGGGCTACACATGTGCTCTGTGCTGTGCCCTCTGATCTGCTGGATGTCGGGCCAGACCGTGTGCTTTCCTCAGCATCTTCTCAGGCTGCAATTCCCTGGCTACGACATGGGCTTTAAAATATATATTTATTTATCTTGTAGAGACAGCATGTCACCCAGGCTGATCTTAAACTCCTGGATCAAGTGATCCTCTGGCCTCAGCCTCCCAAGTAGCTGAGAGCACAGGCTTGCCACACAGGACCCGCTGTATTTTTTATAGACAGGGTCTTGTCATGTTACCCTGGCTGGTCTTGACCTCTTGCACCCAAGTGATCCTCTCACACTGGCCTCCCAAAGTGCTGGGCTGCAGGCATGAGCCTCTATGCCCAGCCCACACAGGCTCTTAAGGGCAGAGCCCCTGGGCCTCCCCACCTAGGACACTTCAGCACCTGAAGCAGCATGACAGAGAGAGACACTCAGGCCGTTCTGGAATTTGAACAAATAGGATTTTGCTTGAACACTCAGAAAGCTGGACAGAGGGCTTAAGCCTCAAGCCGTGGATGTTTCTGCTGGGGTCCTCGTGAGGTTGCATCCCACCATCTCCAAAGCCACAGCCCTTGTGGAGCTGCTGAGTTATACTTTTTGACATTTCTTCCAGGAAAGCTTAATTTGGTTCTGTAAGGATGGTTTCTGTCTCAGGGTCATGAGTGACTGCAATTAAACCAAAGCCTTGCAGGTGGCTCACAGCAAGAGGGGTGGGGTGACTCGACTGTCATGAGTTGAGGCATCTGAGGCACCCAGGCAAGGCCTTGTTGGCCTGGGGGTGCAGGACGCCAGCCAGGAAGAGCCCAGAATGCCGGGCTCTTCAGGCTGCAGAATGCCCGGCTCAGCTGGGAAGAGGGTGCCCTGAGGCCAGAGGGCCTTGTGTAGGACACATCTATCCATCTTCACTGCAGTGCCAAGGAGAGGCTGCCTGCACCCTCTGGGGATCAGGTACCTGGGCCAGCCTGTCTGTCCCCAGCACACCCCTTCCCTCAGCTCTGGCCTCCTAACACTCACCCATCACCCAGGGAAGGCCTCCACTGGGCCTCACAGGCCCATGAAACTGGTGCATAGGTAAGGATAGCACAGCAGCTGAACGGAGGAGACAGCAGCTTGCGTGCTCCACCTCCCACTCAACCAACCCAGGTGCACAGGCGGTGGCATCCTGACAGGCTCCAGGCCAGCTAGTGCAGTGCCCCCCGGCTCCTCAGTCAGCCCACCCTGGGCCCGTGGTGCCACAGCAGGCTCCTGCGTGCTTCAGCTCCAGCGGGAACTCCCCTACCTCAAAAGATGCCTGGCACTAACAACCTGCAGAGACCCGATGCTCGCGTCCTTGACTAGTTACCCACTCCACGCGCCTACCTCCTGCCCCGCCCTGCTGCTGGTGCTGCCATGTGGACAGACACGCAGCCAGGGGAAGCAGGGGACAGGCATGGCTGTCATCAGGGAGCTGGAAGCCCAGGGAGGCCTTAGCCCCAAGACAGGCAGTGAGTGACAAAGAAAAACTCAGTGAACAGACAGCCTTCAAATATGCTGTGCACAGCAGGGGGGAGGCTCATGCCTGAAATGCCAGCACTCTGGGAGGCTGAGGCTAGAGGATCACTTGAGCCCAGGAGTTCCAGACCAGCCTAGGCAACACAGCAAGACCCCATCTCTGGGGAAAAAAAATTAGCCGGGCATGGTGGTACATGCCTATAGTCCCAGCTACTCGAGAGGCCGAGGCAGGAGGCTGTCTTGGGCCCAAGAGGTTGAAGTTACAGTGGGCTATGATCGCGCCACTGCACTCCAGCCCGAGTGACAGGGCGAGGCTCCGTGTCTAAAAGAAAAAAAATAAATAAAAAGAAAAAGAAAATGCTGTGCATGTCCCTTGGTAGGAGGTGTGGGAAGGAAACCTCATCCTGTGGCCTTCCTCCCAAACCACAGCCCAGGCTGACTGCAAGAAAATCTGAGGCGGAGGGGGCCGTGCAAGCCCTGGCCCGGCCTCTCGACGGCTGTCAGAACCCACAGGGTCCAGGGACGTGCGAGGATGGTGATGGTGAAGTCCTGGGTGCTCCTCCAGCATGAGGCGGGATCAGGCAAGGACGAGCAGGAAACGTATGCTGGCCACACAGGCCTGCAGAGGTCTCTGGAAAGGGTCCCCGCCCCATGTCCCTCCCTGACAGGCGCCCGTCCAGCATCGCGAGGCTGCCACCCTGTGGCCACACGCACACCAGCGCTCGCCCCAGAGGCAGGGATTTCCGAGACATCCGTCATGGTTTCCACCTCTGGGCAGCCTGTAGTTTCCAGCTGAGATCAGTAAACACAGGGAAGCTGGCAGAGCCCCCGTGCCTACACACAGACAACAGCAGCAGGCGGCAAGCAGAGGCAAGGCCTCACAGCTGTGGGTGCCCCACACACTACCGAGCTCCCGGCAAACGGGGTGCTGCCTTCTTGCTAACACAGCACCAGGCAGAGCACTGCACGCTCTGACCCCTGCACGGAGCCTCTCCACAAACACCCTCTGGAGGTGCAGCTGCCCAGTACCTACCCGGAAAGGCCAGGCTGCCCATGGGGGCGAAAGTGAGCAACAGTCCCTCACAGGAGGCACAGTCCATTCCACACATGCGGCAGTCCCCCAGGGCTCCCTGTGTGCTGTGTGTGCCATGTGGCAAGATGGCTGCCCAGGTACTCGAAATAGCATGAGCTGGATGCAGCCCTACAAGTGAACACATGATGCTCACTGTGGCTACAGCCCTAAGGGGGCCCTCCTAGACAAGCAGGGAGGGTGATGCTATCAGTCCTGAATCCTGAATGCACACTGAGGCCCCCAGAAGAGGCCATGATTCCCCTCTGACCTCAAACAGCATAGGCTGCAGGAACCCACTTACAAACGCAAGGCTGGGGAACACGGAGTGCTGGCCACCACGGTGCAGCCAGCCTGGTGACGTGGCAGGGCCACTGAGCACACCCAGCACTTCTCTACTGGGACCCTGGAGAGCAGTCCTAACGCCACAGAATGTTACAAACTTCCTGCCTGAAGACACACATACCTGGGGCCCCCTCTTCAGTCCCCAGCAGCAGGACAGTCCCCACCTCCACAGCATGTCACATACGTCCTCCCCGAGCCACGTGCAGTAGTACTGCTGTGCCGTTCACCCCACGCAGTAGTACAGCTGTGCCGTTCGCCCTACATGTGGGTGAAGACCCTCTTCCTATGCTTCTGTAGCCTCTCTCCCACTAGGACACTCGGGTCTGGGCCTGCACTTTAGTGACAGCAGCTCCCAGTGACCTGTGATCTTCTCATCTTGATCAATGGATTTCGTTACGTTTCACACCGTGTACTGTGCTCCATAGGGGTCAATGTCTCTCTTTGCAACCCCTGACTTTCAGGCATATACAGGAAGATGGTAGGTTCTCTGTGATTCAACCACGTGCTGCGTAACTAAGGTGTGCACCTTTTGTTTTTAAGGTGTGTATTCAGCCCTGGACTTCATGGGACTCAATCTATTATTATGTGTATTTCTTTCTGAAACTTGAAGCCATCTAGAACAGCAAGCAAAATATTTTCATGTTAGGGAAACAGGTTACAGGAACTGAAATCTTTGTCATAAGAGAAAAATTAGAGAAACCAAAAGAGCAGCAAATTCCTCTTACAACAGACATCTGGCAATCGAAATCCGTAAGAGCAGAGCTTTACATGCTGTACATACAGACACGCATTACAGTGTGGACGTGCACATCACATACATGACAATACACATGCACTGGTACACATGTGCATCATATGTATACATGTATGTGTATTAGCTATGATGCTAATATTAGAAAATGGAGTCTTTTATGACCTTGGGATTTCTTAATCGGGGCTCCAAGACAAACTGCAGGGGAAAATCAGTGGATTTTGCCATGGCAAGATCAAAGATTTCTGTAAGGGAGGAAGAGAATCCAGAGGAAGTGGCTGCAGCCTCTAAAGCCTGACCGCCTAGGACAGTAGGAAAGTCTTGCACATCCAAGGACAGTAGGAAAGTCTTGCACATCCACGAGGGAAGAAAGCACACAAGAAAAGAAGGAAACAGAACAGGCTATCCACAGAGAAAAACCTGCAGGGCCAAAACAAATATAACACATCAGGGGCCCCACCTCCCAACCAGGGAAAGGGTGAAGGTGAGAATTAACACCAAGGTGCCACCAGCCTCCCATCAGACTGGCAGGACAACAGCTGAGCCTCAGTCCTGTGCTAGGGAGGAGGTGGGCTGAACGTGGCAGACATGCCAAGACCCAGGGTGTCTGCCCCTCAGCCCGGCCCCAGGGAGAGGCCAGCGGAGCACTCACAATCCACAGTGGAGTCTGGGAAAGCACCATGGCCATGCCACACACACCTGAGTATACCACCAACACATGGAAGCACGCTGCACAGTTCTCACACACAGACCCCTCATAGCATGTCTGGGTACCAGGCTGGGAAAACCTAGATTAAATGCCCAGGGAAACAGGAGTGGGCAAAGTAGGGGTGATGGGAACAGCCCCACCAGGGGAGGTGGAGATGGTGCCAGTCACAATCCTGAGGTACCGGTTCCCATGTCGGAATGAGGGGAGGTGAGAGAGACAACAGCGGGAGCTTCCTTTCGCTCCAACGCACCCATTCTGAAAGCCCTTTCTGTGTCGTAGCAGGTTCCGCATCGCCGTTAACTGAGCACCTGAGACTCAGTAATTAACAAAGAACGACGCTTTCATCAACTGACAGTTCTGTGGGCTGGGAAGTCCAAGAGCGTGCCCTGGCTTCTGGTGAGGACTCTCCTGCTGTGGCAGACACACTCAAGTGGGAAGCGGATACAGGCAAAGAGAACCAGAGGGACATTCTGCCTCCCAACACTCCACTCTCAGGAACTAATGCATTTCCAGAACTCATCCAGGCTTCCCAGAGGGAGCACTCACTCACTGCCACGAGAATAGCACCAAGCCACGTAGAGGGCAGAGCCCTCGTGACCAGTCACCTCACAGCCCTGCCACACTGGGGACCAAATTTCCACAGGAGCTTTGATGAGGACAAACTGTACCCAAAGTATGGCAGTGGCTTTGGGACCCACGCACCTGTCAAGCATACAGGTTACCGCTCAGTGATTTCAGATTCACAGATGTCAAGTACAAGGAAAACGGTCTGGAATTGTTTTTAAGTATAAACAAACGAGCTGTCTCTAGCGTGCTGGAGGCCAGCAGCTGCTCTAGGTGACGCATCTGTTAGGCATTTCCCACAGGCGTGCTGAGTCTGGCTGTAATTTCAGAAGTCTGTGCACGCGCTCACTGCCTTGTCGGTCACTAACCTGCATGCCAGACCGAGCGGCTCTTCTCTGCGGGGGAAGATGTTCTCACGCTTCTGAGCACCAAGGCGTCTTCTAACAGCTCCATCTTCTTGCTGAACTGCACTTCTAAAATGGGGATAGCCTCTGGCATCTTGGCAGATATCAAACGATAGGCCATGTCTGGCTTTCCAATAAACCGCTGGCGGATGCTGATTTCGTAAGGTGAGTGGACCTTGATGTCGTCCACATCTTCTCTTTCAAATCTGTGCATGAGCAAAGAACTGGAATCATAGATTTCCAACCCAGACACGAGGACAGTGAGCCTCCCTGGCTTAACGTGAGACTCGGTTCTGTGAGAAATAATGGCAGGAATTTGGATCAGCATCCCTTCTTTCCCAAGGGGTTCACAACTTGGTTTCACAGAGACGCCTTCCCTGGCCTTTGTTTCTGATGGTGTCTTCCAAAGCTTGGAGCCAAAGGGCCACCAAACAGGAGATTCCAGTTCTGTCAACAATCTGAAAAAGCAAACAAAACATGGAAAACCAGGTCAGTTCATTTTTAAGGAGTAATACTTTTTTTTTTTTGAAAACTGTTTTAACCTTCGTAAAGCATGTTACCATTTTATAGTACTTTTCCACAAGCACTCATGAAGCAGGAGGCACAGGGACTGTTGTCTCCAGTGTGAGAAGAGAATGTCGGGGACCAGGGCAGTGAGAATATTTGTCCACAGATGCCAGGCCAACCAGCAGAAAGACAGCAAAAATGCACACCCTCTGCCTAAAATATCACTCTGCCCACACCATGCTACCTTGATCCGGTCCTGATTCAAAATAAAACCTGTACTTACTGTCTAGGGGACTATCTAACAGACCTTTCTGCAGTGATGGAATGTTCTATGTCTGCGCCATCCATATCGTAGGAGGCACACGTGACAACTGCAGCCCTGCCTAGCAGGCCCCTTCCCCGCCTCGGCCAGACAGTGTTAGAGTGGTTCCCACCGCCCACTCTCTCAACACTGGCTCTCTTCCGCGTGCTCCAGATTCCTGCCGGTGCTGACTGGAAGGCGTGCACCTCCTCCTCAGGGGAACACTCTGCATCCTGTCTCGCAGGCTCCGCTGGGATCAGAGTCTAGCTGAGCATCTACAGGTGAGGATAGGAGCTGAGGAGAACCCAGTTCGTCTTGCAGGATGAATCTCCCTAGACTGGGAGGAAAGGCTGCCTCTACTGGCCAGGGAGGTTCTGCAGCCTTCAGGGACTCGACGTCCCCAGCTTCTGCAGGCTGCTGCCACGCGTCTGCATTGGGTTCTCGGGGTCCTGTTCCTTCTCGGTCACGCCCTCAGTGTCACGGTAGATGTCACGCACAGTTAGAACTCAGCCACCTGCAGCAGGAGACTCCAGATTCTGTTTTCAGAAAGCGAAGGGCTTCCTTTGGGGCAGATCCGGAAACATCCAGGCTGTTCCTGCAGCACTCTGAGCTCAGTCGGTTCTTTCCCCACGCTGCCCAGTGGGGCAACTGTGTCAGTCATGGTTCTCCAGAGAAGAGAACTGGTGGGCGTGTCGGGGAAAGGAAGGGAAGGGCTTATTTGAAGGAATGGCTCCCGTGGTTGTGACGCTGTACCTAAGCTAACTGCCATGGGCCAGCCTATTAGAATTATTAGCAAGATTATATGGGGAAAATCACAGCCACTTTCACCAGCTTCCAGCTGAATGTGGCATTCCCCTTCAGCGTGAATGTAAACAGCTTCTGCATTAGTCAAACCTCAACTCTCACCAACAGAAATCTCATCGCGTTAGTTACTGCACATCTCAACATGACCACATCAAGCCCTGCTTGAACACGACTGCAGTTCCTGGACCTGCTGGCGGCGTCATTATCCCATACATCAGTAGGAAGACCTCACATGACCTCAGCAAGGGTTTACAGTACACATCCCGCATGTATTACAGGCCATTCTTAGCCAAGATAATGCATGATTATCCAAATTAAGACAAAAGGTGCACAGTCAGTTTGTTGCCTGGCGTCTGGGACTTCGATGAGGGTAGACGAGTGAGCACTCTGTGGCTTCTTCCCTGCCCTGACTTCTAAGTGAATGGAAGATTTTTGGTGCAGTAGACAGATGTGGTGCCCTGTGTGGCTGCACCCTAGATGGACTGTTTGTTTCCAAGAGCAAGATGTGTGCGTTTTCTTTTACAGTGATGACTTTATGTGTTCTGTCACAGTGATAACTCCTGGCCCTACAGTGAAGGTCTGGGGGTGAATGCGGAGACTTCTGGTTCCAAAAGCATGGCCTAGACACAGGCTGGCTACACTCCTCCCACCAAAAACCAGAAACAAAGGCACAGCACCAGCAATATCCCAGAACTAAAATGTGAGAATATGCTGGCCACAGAAAAAGGAACGATTCCAAGCAGAGACTATGGGAACTGAACTTCCACATCCGACATACCCCTCACCCGGAGAAAGCTCCCCAGCTCACAGTCTTGAACCTGGAAAAAGTGAGATTGAGGTGAACAACTGTTTCCCTGCCTTCTTGGGCTCCCTGGCAGGTCTGCTCCTGCCTCAATCCATGGGAAGCACTGCCAAGGGAGAAACATCCTGAACACAGCCAGAAACACTGGGGCACGGCAGGAACGGGATACTCAGCCCAGGGTGCTGTGCACAGTAACTCGGCCTAAGGAGACACCTAGAGCAGCTGCTGGGCAGCACCACGCCATGGGAGGGGCAATCCCCAGGACCCTGGGCATGAGTCCCTCACCAGCCTCTCCACATGGTTGGGACATCCCCTCCAGGACCTGCCCCATTTCAGACGGGCAGCACCCTGACTGTTTGCTGGAAACACACGTGGGAAAGAAACCCGGGCAGAGCCACCACCATCAGGGCCCTGCTGAGGATGGTTGGAGGCTTCTGAGCAGGTAGGAAGGGCAGGAGCTGATCTAACCGGCAGGGGCCGGGGCGAGCGCCAGAAATATTCTGTGTATCAAAGTGGCATCCGGCCATACACAGGAGATTTTCTTAAAGGTGACTAGTTTGCAAATTAGATCTTACAGGAAACTGATACTGAAAAAGAAAGAGGAGGCCGGGCGCGGTGGCTCACGCCTATAATCCCAGCACTTTGGGAGGCCGAGGCGGGTGGATCACGAGGTCAAGAGATCGAGACCATCCTGGTCAACATGGTGAAACCTCGTCTCTACTAAAAATACAAAAATTAGCTGGGCATGGTGGTGCGCGCCTGTAGTCCCAGCTACTCAGGAGGCTGAGGCAGGAGAATTCCCTGAACCCAGGAGGCGGAGGTTGCGGTGAGCCGAGATCGCGCCATTGCACTCCAGCCTGGGTAACAAAAGCGAAACTCCGTCTCAAAAAAAAAAAAAAAAAAGACATCAATCAATACATTGGTTCAGTCTGGAACCACGGGACAGCTCAAAGCAGGGGCTTACAGGTCACAGTAAATTCCAAGATTTTCTGATTGGCAATTAGTTACAAAATGGTTTTCTCCTGGAGTTGAGCCACTCAGTGGCCCAGGTTCTCCTCCAATCACCCCAGCCAAACGCCACCTTGCTCTGCCCAGCTGGTGGCCTGCAGGCGTGCCAGTGCCTGTCAGTGCATTCCTGTCACCCTTGATTAAGAGTTATTATCTAAAAACCTGGAATCCCAGGTCTCAAAAAAAGAAAGCAAGCTAGCCGGGCGTGGTAGTGCATGCCTGTGGTCCAGCTACATGGGAGGCTGAGGTGATAAATCACTTGAGCCAGGAGCTGGAGGCCGGAGTGAGCTGTGGCGTGCCACTGCACTCCAGCCCAGGTGACAGTGAGACCCTGTCTCAAAAAGTAAAATAAAAGCCTGGAATCGACAGAAAGGAGTTTCTGGACTAGAGACAAAGGGAGGCCAAGGCCGTTACAGAGATTAGGTCTCATAGGTGGCACTTAGAGATGACAGATGGCAAGTGTTTCCATAATGAGACATGTGTGACCCCTCCCTCTCTCCATGGTCTGAACCAGTTTTTCAGGATTATTTTGGAATCCCCTTGGTCAAGAGGGGATGCATTTGGTCAGCTGGGGTGCTTAGGGTTTTACTTCTGGTTTACACAACTAAAGCATCTAGTTTTGCAGAGAAAATGGTCTCATGCGACCACCTCAGTTACTTTAGGCAGTCTTGATCAGCTTTCCTCTCGAGGCAAAACACTTCTGATTCCCTCTGCACGTCCTGGTTTTAGACCTTTCACTTTCCTGTCACATGTTCCCCTTGAAGGCCTGCAGTGTTCCTGTGCCTCCTGAAGCGGGAGGGCAGGCCACCAGCTCTCATCACAGTGCTGTTCCATGAGGTGACCTGCCAAGCACACAATGGCATGGCTGCACATACTTTAAACATCTCCATCTCCAGCCACTGTGGAAAACAGCATAGAGGCTCCTCAAAAAATTAACCAGGAACCATTTCAGAAGTGCTGGGAAGGGAAGCGAGTGGTCCCTTTAAATGATAGGGAAGGGGCAGGGGCAGGGGGAGAAATGCTGGGGAGAGGAGGGCATGGTCCCTGGCTAGGGCTCCACCCCCACGGACGGAGGAAGGTGAGGACATTTTTGTTTTCCTGCCCAAATGCATTTCCCAAGACCACCGTGGCCTGCCACACCCCATCCTGTGACTATAAACACCCTGAGACCCTAGCAGGCATACACAGGTGGCCAGACGTTGAGAGGAGCCCACCAGCCGAGGGACACACAGACAGGCACCAGCACGCCAGGAGGCCACCAACCGGCAGAATGACGCGGAGTTTGGCTGGGGCAGTTGGAAGAGAGCCCAGGCCACTGCATGGCCCGACTCCAGGGGGAAACCCTTCACACTCCCCATCTGCTGAGAGCTATTTCCACTCAATAAAACTTTGCACTCATTCTCCAAGTCCATGTGCGATCTGATTCTTCCAGTATACAAGGCAAGAATCCCAGGATACAGCCTTCTGTCCTTGCAACAGCATAGAGGATCTAATTGAGCTGGTTAACACAAGCCACCTACAGATGGCTAAACTAAAAGAGCACATGGTAGCACATGCCCACTGGGGCTTCAGGAGCTGTAAATGTCCAGACCTAGACGCTGTGGTGGGATCGGAGCCCCACAGCCTGCCTGTCTGCATGCTCCCCTAAAGGTCCGAGCAGCAGGTCACTGAAGAAGCCAGCCACTCCCCTGTCGAATGCCCCGTGATGGGGACAAGGCAACCTTTCCTGTCTCAGAACCACCATGACTCCACGATCCTGTTTGTAGGTTACACCTGCTCCATGATGGGCAGGCCTACCTAAACCTGCCCCTGACGTGAGGAAACTGAGGCTGACAGACGCCGCTTCTCAGAAGGAAGCATCTAAGTGACGTGGACAGAAGGCAGGTCTGTGTCTCAGGCAGCGATGACATGAGGCAGTGGATCCCATGCCATGGTCCACAGACCCAGGGCTTCTGCACCACAGGGGACATACGTGTAGGACAGACCCCGCAGGAAGAGTGCCCTGCACACCTAAGAACAGGGTGTGTGGTAGGTACCTGCTCTCATACAAGGAACGACAGGTGAGGTGGAGATGAATTCACCAGATGTTAACAAGGCCGGTTAGCATCCACGATGGAGTTGCTTCAGCCTCCACAATCCCAAAGGAAATAAATCAGTGTCTCAAAGCGACCCTTCACTCCCACGTTCACTGCAGCGTGCTTCACTACAGGCGAGGCATGGAAACCACGTAAGTGTACATCCACAGGCCAAAGGATAGAGAAAGTGGAACAGTACTGACTCCAAGGAAGAGAAAAGCTTGTTTACTTGTATATAACTATTGCTTCACTGAAGATTAGATTATCATTCATTTTTAATGAATAATCTATAGATCATTAACCTGTAGATTATTCATTAAAAATGCCTTGGGAAAACAGGACCTTCAACAGAAATATAAGGAAATACACCAACCAACAACTCTGGGAACCAACAACTCGCTCTGGGACTCTACAGCTCTGGGCACAGGCTGACCAGCCTGGTAAGAAGAGACCGATGGTGCCTCAGAAGTCCACAAAGCACTGACCAAGCAAGCAGGATTAACTGCCCACCTGAGACTCTGCAATTTTCACAGGGATGCTTTGATCATTTCCCCCATTTCTCTTAAAAAGCCCTGGTCTGGGGTCACAACTCGGGGAGGTGGTCTTTGGAAGTGAGTCCACCACCCTGAGGTCACGGACTTCCTTGATAAAGCTAACTGTCCTTTCACAAAGCTCATCTCTTGAGTTTTGGCTTTCAAGCAATGAGTGGCCAAGACCTGGGTTCAGGTACAAAAATACAGTGTCTATATGCCAAGGAATTTTATTCAGCAATAAAAAAGAAGGAAATCCTGCCATTTCACCACGATGGACAGACCTGGAGCATGTTATGCTGAGTGGAAGGCGTCAGACACAGAGAGACAAACTGTGCATGACACATGTGGGACCTAAAGGAGCCAAACTTGCAGAAGCTGAGAAGGCCAGGTGCGGGGCGGGTGGGGAAGTGGGGAGAGGGTGGCCAAGGCCCCCAGCCTCGGTTACGGGATGAACGAGCTCTGGGCAGTAATGACATGGTGGGGGTGCAGTTCTCCTACAGTACACTCGAAATCTGCCAAGAACACACATCTTAGGTGTTCTCATTTCTCAAGGAGGAAAAGAAAAACAAACAAAATGACAGGTATGTGAGACAAGAGACAGGTTCACGGACATGACTGCTGGGTACAAACACTGTATCATCAAGCCACATGCCTCAAACACACACAGTTTTTGTCAGCAGTACCTCAATAAAGCTGGAAAAAATAATTATACCTAAAAACAAAGTCTTTATGTAATTGGCCCTATTCCTTTACATCGTTTTTCTGACCTGCTTTTCAAAATGCTGAGTCAAATTTGTCTTTTTCTTGTGTCTTTCTGTTTCTTGCAGGTCCTGGAGGCTGGGAGCCCTGCCTGTGGGCCTGGGGAAGGCACCAAAGCTGCCCACACTTGGAGGAGGCGGCATGGGCAAAGGCCAGGTGGTCTTGGACACTGTGACCTGCAGTCCTGCCTCCTGCCTGGCGGGAGAGGGCTGTGAGCACCAACACTAGGAAGGAACCGGCACGAATGCAGGCAGGCACAGGGCCTCACTGTGCTCTTTGGACACAAGGTTGGGGGTGCAGAGGACCAGCTGAGAGCACGCCTAACCGGTGGTGGGGCCTGCAGTGGCCAGGACAGGTGGTGGGATGAGCGGTGGGCTGGTGTGGTGGTAGGCTGCTCCTGGGAGGCAGCTGCTGAGCAGGAGAGAGACGTGGCAGCACAGGACCAGGCAGGTGAACACAGGATGGCCTGTCCCATGAGAGTGGGCAACACAGGGCGGGCTCTTCCTCACCACACAATTAGGGGCCCAGGTGCTGGGTCAGATGCTGGCACCCTGGGTGGAACTCTGTTTCTCTGGCTCAGCCTGTCTTTCAGTCACCTACTCCATTTCTAGAAGGGACCGGCCCATCGCTGGGTGCCAGGCTCATTTCCCAGCAGGAGTCGACAGCAAACACAGGGGCTCTGGTTCCACGTGGTGGATAATCATGTGCCTTGGCAGCCTCCTCCCATCTCTCTGCGCCATCTCCGCACACAGAATACTAGTGCCACTGCCAGGTGGCAAGGCGGAAGTTCAGCTGGGCACAGACGAAGATGCTCCTTCTCCACATTGTTTGTTTTGTCTGTGAGTAGGAGCAGGACGATACTCCAGGAAGCAGGGAAAGCCACAATGTAACCCTCCCCTCCAGGACCACATTGCCCTCACCCAGGGCTGGGGCCCAGTGCTCTGTGCTGTCCCCATGCCTCCCCCCGCAGATGCCCTCAGGGTCCGGCCCAGGGACACTTCTCGGCAGTGAGCCAGGGCAGGGGAAGCCAGGACAGAGGCACCATGGGGAGGGCTCCAGAACCCCACAGGCTGGAGGGCAGAGGGCCAGTCCCAGCTCACCAGGGCATGTGTCTCCCAGAGGCCAGGATGGTCACATTAGTGTCCATGCAGCGGGGCCACAAGGCCCAGTCGCCAAGCACTACTCTGCACGTGTCTGTGATGCTATGTGTCCATGAAATTAAATCAAAATCAGCAGACTCCCAAAAAGTAGCTGTGCCCGTAATGTGGGCAGGCCCCGTGCAACCTACTGAAGGCCTTAACAGAACACAGACTGACCCGAGCCACAGAGCCATGGCCTTGGGGCTGTGACTGCCCCTGCAGACTCTGGGCAGGGCAGAACACATGCCTGTCAGCTACACGGAGGAGCTGAGGTTGTCAGAGGCTCTGTCATCTCCCAGCTCCACCCTTGTGCCAGCCAATCTCTTTGACTGAAAGGATCTCCTCTTAGTCAAGAAGATGCGACCTCAGTCCAACGAACCCGCATGCAGCACCAATGCAGCAACACAACTCCAGCTTTGGGCTGAGGGACAGCGGCCAGTGCCCAGGGAACACAGAGGTTCTGCCTGCCTGCTGCAGCCGTGGGTGCTGGGAGGAAGTTCTCACTGTCCTCTGAGTAATCACAAAATGAGAAATAACATGCTTCAGAATGATTTTTCAAGAAATAACTGAAAGCATGTAAAAACCTGAGCTATGTGTACTGAAACACACACACAGACAACACATACAAACACACATGGACACATATGCACACAAACAAACACACAGACACACACAGACGCAGATACACACACGCGCGCACACTCTCTCTATCTCAAGGATGTGCCCTTAAGAGAGGGGCAGAGAGCAACAGAAAAGGACTCAACACACACTTCTCCAAAGACAAACACAGCGGCAGCCTGACACTGAAAAGCAGGCAGACTTGGCAAACCCAGGAAGGTGAACAGTGTGCCAGCAGCAGGCGCTGAGAGACCATGCGATTAGGACACCAGAGCCCTAGGGGGTGACGAGGAGGTGGTACCAGCACCCTCCCAGCAGCGGCAGGAAGAACCAGGAACACACAGGCACAAGTCCACGTGGCACTGCACTGGAGACCCTCGGCTCCCAGATGGACCCACCCAAGTGGGCAAACCCCGGTCCTGGAAGAGGGGCTGGAGGGAACCTCAGGGCAGAGTCAGTGAACCTTCTACCTGAGCCAGAATGCAGCCCCTCAAAACTCACACTCCAGACAGGGGACCCCAGGATGAGGAACCGAGGGTCCCAGTAAAGAGCCCAGGGCTGATACTTCAGCCCCACATACACCGTCTCAGGAAAAATGACTACAAAAAAAAAACAGGCAATAAACAGGTCCCTTGAAAAGTCAGAAACCATAAGCAAAACAAGGCTGTTAATAATATCCAAACAGAGAAGACACTCAGGCCATGACGTCTGAGTGTCATTGTCCCAGGCACCCATGAGTTCTAAGAAACTACAAGTACAAATGATAAACGGTAGGAAGATAAAGACCAGAAGCAAACACTGGAACAGCAACACAGGAGGAAAGCCAAACAGGAAACCAATACCCAGACCGAAGACAGCAGGACTCAGAAAGCACAAAAGGGGACTTGGAATAAGAAAATAACATTTAAACAAACTGAAGAAACGGTCTGGAAATATACTAGGATTTCCATAGAAATGGAAGAACATAGCTCATGAACAAACGGCAGGCACTGACAGGAGGCACCATCGCCAAGGCAGACCTTAGTCCCCTCTCTGTGACCTCAGAGGCCAGGGCCTGTCCGCATCACCACAGAGGAGCCAGAAGCAGAGCAGTGCACGGGACGGTCACAGCACAGTCTCTGCTTGCTGGGTGTGGACTCTGCACGGTGCAGTGGACGGCAGGGGCGCCCGGCACGCAGCGAGCCAGCACACTCGGATCTCACTGCGTGTTTCCAGCAGAGTACACAGTGCATTCACAGCCTCGCTCTTCTAGTGCTGGATCTCACTGTGTGTACCCACTGAGCGTGTACAGCAGCAGTGCAGAGTCATGCTCTCAGGATGCTGGGTGTGCACAGATGCTGTGTCGTGGCCCGGCAGTGCCTGGCGCGGTGAGCCTCTGCACAAGTGCACCTTACTCTGTGTGTGCCCTGCAAAGTGTGCACAGCAAGCCCACCTGTCTGCCACCTCCAGGTCTGACTCCATCTTGTCCAGGCCTCTCATGACGCCATCCAGCTGCTGGCCCTGGTGGTGCAGGACCCTTGCTGTGTCCTCCAGGCGTTTCTGGGATCCGGCCATGAGTCCGGTCAGCTCCTTGCCCCGGGTTCTGGGGGCAGGCGTGTCTGCTGCAGGCTGAGACAACAGCAGCTCCCTCCAGAAATGCTCGATGATGCTGAAGACCACATTTCGACTTGGCCGCAGGGAGCTGAACCAGTGCTTGGTGTGGCCCTTCTCCAGGACAGTGATGGAGCTGAAGATAAAATGCGAAGCCTCCTTCTTGATCTCGACTATGCTGGAGAGGGGGAAGCTGACCAGAGTCTCTCCAGTGCTGTCAGTCATGAACCGGAGCGACAGTGACGTTAAGGACAGCTGGCCAGTAACCCATCGCCTCTCTGGCTCCAGGTAGTAGGTACATGGCCAGGTGTGGATGCAGACATCCCTGCTCATCTGTTCCTGGGTCTGCCTGAGCCGAGGTCCAGGCCTCTTCTGCCTCTGAAGGAGAAGAGACAGTGACGCTGTGCTGTCATCCATGGACTGGAGACACAAGCAACCCAACAAGGATGCCACCTCCCCTGCGGCTCTGGGCTCACACAGGCTGCAGCACACGGCTAACTCTACCCACCTGTGGCTGCAGGACGAAGCTCATGTGCCCTCTTAGCTGGTGAAGGAGGAGCAGCCGGAACAAGAGGGCTGGTTTGGAACCAGGACCCTGAGCCCCAGACTCATGCCCATCCCCTAAGCAGAGGGTTCACACCGTCATCCCCCTCACCACCCTGTGCCCCTGCACCCAGCAAAGCCACCCTGCTTGGATCAGCGTCCACTGCTGGATGAGACCTGAGGAGGGCATCGCTAGAGACGTTGCCAGGGCCCTGGGCCTCGGACCTCAGTCCCAGGCCTTACTCTCAGACCGTTCCAAGGAGTGCTGTCTTTTGGCCATGATGTTCCCTTTAGATGCTCATTCCCCTTTGGAAACTGCCATTCATCAACTTTGCTGCACAGAGAAACAATCCTGCAGACAAGCGTTTCCCTTTCTCCTAACCCCAGCTAACCACACAGCACTCCACAGACCTGACTGGTAACACGTATGTGCATTAGCTGACTGCGTGTACAGTTTGACACAGCTGCAGGTCCTACCATGTTTTCACATCTACATTTATCAGTGCAGTCTGGAAAGTCATGAATGACAGATTTGAATGAACCCTCATGGAACACGCAGCCCAACCCTCTCGCCGTACAGATAAGGTTGAGAAAACGCGAGGGCCTTGTGCGAGATCCAGACACGAGCGCAGGACTCTGCCAGGCCAGAGCCAGGCCGGGGATGCCTCACCAAGGTTCTGACAGCAGAGAGGGGACCACAGGAGGGTGGCAGTTGTCCCACCTCTCTCTCACAGAATTTCACTGCAACCTGGCTTCACTTACACAACCAGGACAGCCAGCCAGTGTAAGCCCTTCAGATACTGAAAAGTGTGGGCTTTCCACAGCACAGAGAGAGGCTGTGGGGGCCTCCACATTCTGGCAACATGTTCATGAGTCCCTCCATGTGTCAAATGTCCTGCTGGGCACCAGCCACCCTGATCCAGTCCCTGGCTCCTGCAGCTCACCACGGTTGTACTTGCAGAAGCCAGGTCTTCCCTGTAATTGCTGCACAACACACCATGTCCCGCAACACAGGGCTGGACGAGACATATGGACAGGAAATGCCACACCTGCACCTGAAGAGCCTGCCTCAAATGGGACCCTCATTCTATGAGGACACAGCCATCGGAGAACACACCATGTGTCGTCACATGCAGACCACAGGGAAGGAGGCGTGACTGGACGGTGGGGGCTGCCTGGCTAGTCTCCCCAGTCCACAGACTGCCCGTGTGGCCAACGGAAGAGCCCCCACCCAGCTTCTCCCACACCAGCCCAAGTCCACCCTCCCTCTGGGGCACAGCACTCAGCACATGGAGGGTACCACGGCCAACCTACTTACACCCCCAGCACCACAGCCAGGGCCCAGTGGGCCGCACACAGGACCCGCCCTGTCCAGGGCCACCCACTCCCCACCAAGGCAATGGCAAGGGCCCAGCACGCTGCACACAGGACCCATGATGGATGTTTTTCTGCCACAACGACTTCAAGGCCACCCAGCAGGCCCCAGACTACAGGGACACAAAGGCATCTGCTTCTCAGAATTAGGAGGAGGATAAACTACACTAACTCAGTCCTGGTTCTCAAAGTCAGGCAAGCCAGTAGCTACAGGAGGGGCCGCAGCCCTCCTTGCTCAGCCCTAGAGTTGCTGTGCCTGTGCTCCCAGCTGAAGAGGCTGCCCAGACCTCCGCCACACCTGGCCTTCGAGGGGAGGGACCGCACCTCACCACCACTACCTCCACAGAGAGCCAGACACGGCGTGGGCAGTGAGGCTGTGCTAACCACTGCTCAGCAGGCATGGCTGGGAGGTACTCCAGGAGAACGGAGTAAAACTATGCACAAGCTCCCTGAAGAGCCCTGTGGCTGGTGTGGCAGCACAGTATACAGTTCTGGAAAGATCGCCTCACCTTCTGGACCTGTGGACCCACCACTAAAGTAAGTAAAAGGCCTAAGGTCACCAGCTATGAAATGTTCTGAATTCAAAAAGAAAGTTGGGGGTGCTGTGGTCCCAGCTACTCGGGAGGCTGAGGCAGGAGGATCACTGAGCCTGGGAGGTTGAGGCTACAGTGAGTTGTGATTGAACCACTGCACTCCAGCCTGAGCAACAGAGTGAAATTCTGTCTCTTCAAAAAAAAGAAAGAAGGGGAGGCCAGGCATGATGGCTCACCCCTGTAATCCCAGCACTTTGGGAGGCCAAGGCGGGCAGATCACGAGGTCAAGAGATGCAGACCATCCTGGCCAACATGGTGAAACCCTGTCTCTACTAAAAATATAAAAATTAGCTGGGTATGCTGATGTGCACCTGTAGTCCCAGCTACCCAGGAGGCAGAGGTTGCAGTGAGCCGGGACAGCGCCATTGCACTCCAGCCTGTCACCTGGCAACAGAATGAGACTCTGTCTCAAAAAAAAAAAAGAAAGAAAGAAAGAAGGGGGAAAGGACCGAGAAATTAGGACATGAAGAACCAAGGCTCTTCTCGTTAGCACATTTTAAACAATAAACATTAAAAAAAAGTATTCAAGTTGCCAACAACCCAGGAAGAAGCCAGAGGAGAAACTTGTGACCACACTTTTCCAGCCGCAGGTTTCCAGGACTTCCTTCCCAGAAAACCTAAGTAAACAGAGATGAAGCGCGAGGACAGAAGCAAGGACACCCCACGGAACATCAGAAGCATCCCAATTTTGGACACTGCTCCCATGAGGGACAGCCATTCCCCCACCCAGTGACACACCTGGCCCCATACGGAGGCCACGGGGGAACGCAATCCATCTTCACCTCCAAGGCCAGACCCTCCTTCAGGGGCCCTGATCCCACCCTCTCTCTCTCAGCCCCGAGATCTCCCTGGCCTTCCCACGCCAGGCACTGCACATTCTCCATGAAGGACCACGCACAGTCTCCACTCTCCACAACTACACAGCTCTGCCAGGGTGGAGTGAAAGTGGCCACAAGACACCGACATGGGGTCCACTGCCCCACAGGACCTCACTTACAAAAACGTTAGTTAGACCTGGCCATGGGCCGAGAGGCGCCCTGCTGTGAGTCACTGCCCCTGGCTCCCTGGCCACGACCCTCTCCAGGTCTCCAGCCCCACCTCTATGAGCGCCTACGACTACTCTCCTTGGCATAGCCTCCTTGTGCACCTGACTGCACAGGGCACAACCTGTCCTCCTTGTACCCTCTTTTCCCAGGTGAGACAACACAGGCCAGAAACTCAACATCACCCCCTAGCCGCTGCCTCCCAAACACCCACTCCAGCCAGACCCCCTCACACTTCAAACTCAAGCATCTGATCACCTGCTGATCTGCCCCCCCCAATGGGCACCCCAACTTCACAGGTCCTCTGCCAGCTCCTCCCCGGTCACTCAGTGGGCATCTGCCCTCGCCCCTAATGGGCACCCCAACTTTACAGCCCCTCCACCAGTTCCTTTCCTGCCACCTGCTGGGCACCTGCCCTGCCCCTGCCCCTAATGGGCACCCTAGTTTCACACCCCCAGCATCAGTTCCTCTCTCAGTAAAGGTGCCATGGGCCCAGGAGTTCTGACTCGTCTCTTCCTCCTCCCCGAAAACATATCATCAGCATGTTCTGACAGCTGTGTCCCCGCCCTCCACCCCAAGACCACACCACTGTCCTGGCACAGGCATTGTCTGGGCCAACCAGCACAAACAACACCCTTGGGGAAGGAGTTGCAGTCACAGGGACTCACTCATCACACACTGCAATCTGTACAATGGATCTCTTTCAGCCTTTCCAGCATTCATGTGCCCGAGTGAGACTCAATCTCCGAAAAACAACCTAGTTTTATTTACTCTCTGCAGTTCCACTATCCAAGGCAGTCCTTCCTCCCTCCACATCTGGACAACCTCTCAGGCAACCTCCTGACCTCATCCTGTCCCCACCATCCATTCTCCTCCAGCAGCCAACGAGACAGTCATTGAACAGAATTAGAAAATGTCACTCCTCTGCCCGGAGCCTTTCCTTGCATACTGGGAATGAGATCCAAGTTCCCCATATCAGCCTAATGGACTCTGCAGAACTTGTGACCTCCCCGCCCTGGTCGCCCTCTGCCCTCTGCTCCCAGCAGCCGTTCCATGCCACGAGTCACACTGGCAGCTCCACTCCTCAGATCTCTGTTCAGAGGGTTTCTTTGCCCTCCTAATGCACTGTCACCAACCACAGCCCAAGCAAAACTCCAGAGAGCTGGTGCTTTTACAACTGTCCCACTACAGAAGGCACCTTCTGTCATGGGAGGGCCACAAGGCCTAAACACCATGGGCACCCAATGAATTTGTGCTGAGTGGACCATGAGCACGCCACATGGAAGCAGGGCTGTGCCCATGCCCTCCTGTACCACCTAGTTCTGCGACCTGTGCTGAGTTCTGCAGCCCTCACGGGTCCCTCCCTGCTGCAATCTGCAATCTGTCTCCTCCAGTGCAGGTGTGGGCCTGGGGACCCGCGCTGACCCTGAGAACACACAGCTGAATCCTCGAGGGAGGTCATGGCCAGGGGCCCACAGGTGTCTGCAGCCAACCCACACAAGTGACGCTCTTGGGGAGGAAGTCTGCAGCACACAGGGCGATCTGTACAATGGGTCTCTTTCAGCATTTCCATCACTCAAGGGTCCCCTGAGTGAGGCTCAGTATCCAGTAAACAACTTATTTTTAGTTAATTTCCACAGTCACAGAACAAACATCTTGCACACCTTCCGCTACCTTGCGACCGAGAAGCTCAGCGAGGACAGTGGTGGCTGTGTGTGCCCACGGGGGCGGCAGGGTGCGGCCAATCTTTCCAGGCTCCCCTCCCCTGCTCCCCAGACCCTCTTTCCACTCCCTCAGAGGTTCCCAGCTCTAGCCACAAGGTGCAGACACGCCCACCGGGGCTGTCAGCATGCAACACAGTGACAGAGGAGCACAGGTTCCGCACAGTGCAAACTGCATGTCTCCAAAGTGTTGACTTAAAACCCCATCCTGGCCAAGCGCAGTGCCTCACACCTGTAATCTCAGCACTCTGGGAGGCTGGGGTGGGAGGATCGCTTCAGTCCAGAAGTCAGAGGTTGCAGTGAGCCAAGATTGCACTACTGCACTCCAGCCTGAGCGACAGAGCAAGACCCTGTCTTAAAAACAAAAAACCACCCTGATGGAGTGCTGTGTGGGGCTTAAGAATGTGCATTTCTTGCCATTCCCAAGCGATGCCAGGGCTGATCTAGGGGGCCTCTGGGTGACACAAGCCTGTGTTCCAGTCCCATCAGAGCAGATGGTGCTCCAGGCCTCCTGTGTACACAGTGGTGACACTGACCCCAGGGGGCACCTGCGGACCAGGGAACTAAAGCACAGAGTTCCATCTCAAGAACGAGACCTCCATCTCCCATCAAGTCCTAGAAACTCAGTGATCTAGGGGAGCTGTGGATCTGGTGGCCCAAATGCCCCTTTCTTAGGAAACTGAGGCTCAACCATAGGGCTTCAGGAACTCCTCCCAGGCAATGCCCACCTGAATTTCAGTTTCCCCATGAGGCAAACTTGGAACCATATACCAAGATCTCGGGACAATTATAAACACTCTGCTCCCCACATCTTTCCCATTGACCTCCCTCGATCTGCATGTGCCACAACCAAAATCAAATGACTACTAGCAATTAAGGAACAATACATGGCAAGGTCAATTAATTGTCAATATTCAGGTCAATATGTGGCAAGATGTTACAGCATATTGTTAAATTTTTAAAAAAGACTAAAACCAGCGAAAGTTCACATACGCATATTATACATTATGGAGAAAGAAACGGTGTGTGTGTGTGTGTGTGTGTGTGTGTGCGCGCGCGCACGTGTGTGTGTGTGTGCACATGTGCATGAACATTTAGACAAGGACTAGGGGGAGAGAAGAGCAAAGAGAGAGAATGAATGAATGAATGAATGAATGCATGTGTGAAGGAACGTAGAAAAGCTGGCTCTACACCAGGAAATAAAAAACGGTCATCTCGGCCAGGCGCAGTGGCTCAAGCCTGTAATCCCAGTACTTTGGGAGGCCAAGGTTGGCAGATCATGAGGTCGAGTTTGAGACCAGCCTGACCAACATGGTGAAACCCCATCTCTACTAAAAATACAAACATTAGCCAGACATGGTGGTGCACACCTGCAATCCTAGCTACTCAGGAGGCTGAGGCAAGAGAATCACTTGAACCCAGAAGGCGGAGTTTGCAGTGTGCCAAGATCACGCCACTGAACTCCAACCTGGGCAACAGAGTGAGACTCTGTCTAAAAAAAAAAAAAAAATCAAACAAAAACGGTCATCTCAGGCCGGGCGCGGTGGCTCACGCCTGTAATCCCAGCACTTCAGGAGGCTGAGGCGGGTGGATCACGAGGTCAAGAGTTCGAGACCATCCTGGTCAACAAGGTGAAACCCCGTCTCTACTAAAAATACAAAAATTAGCTGGGCATGGTGGTGCGCATCTGTAGTCCCAGCTACTTGGGAGGCTGAGGTAGGAGAATAGCTTGAACCCAGGAGGCGGAGGTTGCGGTGAGCCGAGATTGTGCCATTGCACTCCAGTCTGGGTAACAACAGCGAAACTCCATCTCAAAAAAAAAAACAGTCATCTCTGATGGAACTGGAGATGATTCTTTCTCCTCAATTGTAACTTCTCCAGACATTCTCGTTTTCTAGTGTAAAAGAACTGAATAAAGAATTCCATACTGTGACCAAACAAGTCACAGTGGGGCTTACCAGGAAGGGACCACAGCATATACTCAATCACACAATCCTCAAAGCAACTGCCCACCTCCTGTCCCTGCCCCTATGGCCCCCAATCCCACCTCCAGTGGACTCAGACTCCCAAAACTCACTTTCCTCCTAGTCCTCCCCTCTTCTGATCCTCCCTGTTCTCCTGGGTAAACCTCACACTCTTTGGAAAGAGTCCCCAGCAAGGATCTGAGCCCCCGCACTCCCAGAACCTCCCTTATCCCGGTTCATAATAGTAAATAAAACAACATTGCCATCACTTCATAAAGGGAAGGCAGGTGTCCCCCTCTCCCTTAGGACGCCTCCGTTTGGTCTGCGATGAGACAGGCCAGTGTCCAGATTTCACAAAACACAGTCATGGCCTGCCAGCCCCTAGACTGTCATCAGACTGCCAAACCGAAATCAAAGGCCTCTCACTGAGAGCAAACCAGCAAAAGCTGCCTCTCAATTCTCTGGGAGAGATGAGCAGTTCTAACTGTTCCTCCTTCCATCTGCCTGTCAAGGCGCCTGGGAAAATGCCCAGACTCTGCACATTGTCGCAGAGCGCCTACATGCACACAGTCTGCCAGGCTTCAGGGGCAATAAATCTGCTCTCTTACCTCTGTGTCCATGTGGGTAGCTTTGAGCTGTCAAGTCTTTTATTTCTCCAGCACACCAAGACATACATCACATAGAGTTCCCCGTGGCCCCCCACTTTCATGTCCTGGCCAAAAATCATGGAGTACCCTGACCCCCGCTGTGTCCCAGCCATAGGTTTTTCCCACCAGGCTTCAACCCAATCCAGGGCCCTGAACATTTCCAGGCCTGGAAGAAGCTATCTACAAATAAAATGATCTTGCCCCTGGGCCAAATTCCTGAAAGCTTCCTATAAACTCCATAACCCACCTCCCTTGCCAGACACATACCTGGAGAGGACATCCCTCTTCCCTTACTGCCCATCTCAAGGACTGCTACAGTCAACTCTGTGTGAAAGTTCTGCTAACAAAGGCTCTAGGCAGGGCCTGGTGCAGTGGCTAACACCTGTAAGCCCAGCACTTAGGGAGGTCAAGGCAGGAGGATCACTTGAGCTCAAAAGTTCAAGACCAACCTGGGCAACACAGAGACCTGTGTCTGCGTTATTTTTGTACACCCTGTCTCTACAAAAAAAGAAAAAGAGGGCTGGGCACAGTGGCTCAAGCCTGTAACCCCAGCACTTTGGGAGGCCAAGGCGGGTGGATCATAAGGTCAAGAGATCGAGACCATCCTGGTCAACATGGTGAAACCCCGTCTCTACTAAAAATACAAAAAATTAGCTGGGCATGGTGGCGCGTGCCTGTAATCCCAGCTACTCAGGAGGCTGAGGCAGGAGAACTGCCTGAGCCCAGGAGGCGGAGGTTGCGGTGAGCCGAGATCGCGCCATTGCACTCCAGCCTGGGTAACAACAGCGAAACTCTGTCTAAAAAAAAAAAAAAAAAAAAAAAGAAAAAGAAAAGAAAACTAAACTGGGCATGGTGGCTCCTATATGTAGTCCCAACTATTTGGGAGGCTGAGGCAGGAGAACCGATTAAGCCCACGAGGTGGAGGCTGCAGTGAGCTGTGATGATACCACTGCACACCATCTCCAAAATGAAAAACAAAACAAAAAACTGCTCTGGGCTCCCCATGCATTTAGCACTTCTTTCTTTGGAATCCCAACTGGTCCCACCTGAGGATAGTGTGGGGAACTCCCTTGCTGCCACTTTTGGGGTGACTCCAGTTGCAAGTTTGGCAAAACACTCCTCATGTCACCACTCTGATGTCCTCTAAATTCAGCCCTGCTCATGTGTACGCAAGCCCCAAATCCCCACCCACAGTCCCACCACACCTTCATTTCACACTCTTTCTCATTCCCCACCATCTTCTCCAGACAACCGTTGTCCCCTGGGTCCCCCTGCCATGCCCTCCAGGTCCCCTGTGGGCCCCATTCTCCCATCTAGGTCACCCTGACCCCTTCGGCTCCCCCCGCTACATTTTCCTCCAGGTCCCTGTCATCCTCTCTAGATCCCAGCATACCCTCTAGGTACCACTGATCGATCCCTCCAGATCCCCACCAACCCCTCCAGGTCCCCTACCATCTCCTCCAGGTCCCCACCATCCCCTCCAGGTCCCCATCATCCCCTCCAGATCCCCATCAACCCCTTCAGGCCCCCACCATCCCCTCCAGGTCCCCACTGCCCCATGTCCTCCAGGTGCCACCATCCTTTTCAGGCCCCCACTGTCCTCATCCCTCCAGATCCCACCATCCCCTTAAGGTCCCACCATACCCTCCAGGTCCCCACCATCCCCTCCAGATCCCCACCAACCCCTCCAGATCCCCACCATCCCCTTCAGGCCCCCACCATCCCCTCCAGGTCCCCACCATCCCCTCCACAACCCCACCATCACCTCCAGGCCCCCACTGTCCCCATCCCTCCAGTTCCCACCATCCCCTCCAGGTCCCCACCATCCCCTCCAGATCCCACCATCCCCTCCAGATCCCCACCATCCCCTCCAGGTCCCCACCATCCCCTCCAGATCCCACCATCCCCTCCAGGTCCCCACCATCCCCTCCAGATCCCCACCATCCCCTCCAGATCCCCACCATCCCCTCCAGGACCCACCCATCCCGTCCATGATCCCACCATCCTCTCCAGGTCCCCACTACCCCCATCCCCTCCAGGTCCCTTCGTCCCCTCCAGGTCCCCACTGTCCCCATCCTCTCCAAGTGCCACCATCTTCTCCAAGTCCCCATCGTCCCCTCCAGGACCCTACCATCTCCGCTAGGTCCCACCATCCTAGGGCCCCCCTAGATCTCCCTCTGGGTCCCACCGTTCCCTCCGGGTTCCATCATCCCCAGGCGCCCCCACACCGCCGCACCCCCGCGCCCAGAACCGCCTCTGTCCCCGCCCCTCTCCCAGCGCTGCCCGCATACCCCGCCCCCCACCAGAGATGCGGGAAGGAGGGCTCGGGCTGTGTCAGCCACAGCGCGCGGACGGAGACAAGGGCGGACACCAGTGCTTGGGCCGGGCCCCCAACAGGTCAGTGCCGTCGCTCACCTGAGGGACGCCAGACTTGCCCCAGAGCAGATCCGAGGCGCCGCGGCGAGCCTTGCGCAGGCGCAGGGCGGGCGTGCGGGGCGGGCGCCCCAGGCGCGGGTCGGGCGGAAACGCAGCGCCTTGCGCTTTCTGGTTCCGAGGCTTGTCCTTACCCTTTCTGCTCCGGCGGAAGTGAGGAGGGGGTCCTTCGACCCCAGCCCGGCCGGATGGACCGCGAGACGCGCGCGCTTGCTGACCGCCACTTCCGAGGCCTGGGGGGCGGTGTGGCTGGCGTCGGCCGGGCCCCGGACCGGGTGGCCTTTGTCTCGGATCCGGGCGCCTTCTCCTACGCCGACTTCGTGCGGGGCTTCCTGCTGCCCAACCTGCCCTGCGTGTTCTCCAGAGCCTTCACGCAGGGCTGGGGCAGCCGACGGCGCTGGGTGACTCCCGCGGGGAGGCCCGACTTCGACCACCTGCTGCGGACCTACGGTGGGGCGGCGGACGCAGACCCCGGGCAGGGAGGGGCGGCCGGCGGGACCCGGGCTCGGGAGGTCCCCGCCCAGAGAGGGGCACCAGGGAGGGTGAGGGGGCCGGGCGCGTGGCGCCTCGAGAGTTCCTCTGCAGACGGTTTGGAGTGTGGACGGGGCCCAGGGAAATGGCATGGACCGTGCCTGACTTTCATTTCAGGAGACGTGGTTGTACCAGTGGCAAACTGTGGGGTCCAGGAATACAACTCGAACCCCAAAGAGCACATGCCCCTCAGAGACTACATCACCTACTGGAAAGAGTACATCCGGGGGGGCTACTCCTCTCCAAGGGGCTGTCTCTACCTCAAAGACTGGCACCTCTGCAGGTAATGGGGCTTGGGATGCACCGAGGCGCTGCCTTCCCTAGCACGGGAACCCAGAGGCCTTTCTCAGGGAGGTGGCCCAGGCGGCACCAAGAGGAGCTGTTTCCCCCCGTGAAGTACTTTAATCTGTTTAAAAGAAACTGGGTTGTCTTCGGCATGGGTGCAAGTGTTGTTCTTTGGGAGGTCAATATGGTTTTTTTTTCCTTTTTTTTGAGACGGAGTTTCGCTCTTGTTACCCAGGTTGGAGTGCAATGGCGCGATCTCGGCTCACCGCAACCTCCGCCTCCTGGGTTCAGGCAATTCTCCTGCCTCAGCCTCCTGAGTAGCTGGGATTACAGGCACGCGCCACCGTGCCCAGCTAATTTTTTGTATTTTTAGTAGAGACGGGGTTTCACCATGTTGACCAGGATGGTCTCGATCTGTTGACCTCGTGATCCACCCGCCTCGGCCTCCCAAACTGCTGGGATTACAGGCTTGAGCCACCGCGCCCGGCCTTTTTTTTCCTTTTTTAAATGGATCCCCTCAGCCTTCCTAGTAGCTGAGATTATAGGCATGCACCTCCACGCCCAGCTAATTGCTAATTTTTTTTTTTTTTTTTTTTTTTGGTAAGAGACTAAATTATCCCATGTTGCCCTGTCTGGACTTGAACTCCTGGGGTCAAAACACTGATTATAGGCATGAGCAGAACTTTTTCATAAGTGAACCATTGGCGTCAGACCATCTCCCCCCACCCCACCAGCAGCAGCAGCTGGCTCAGAGAAGGTGCTGCGGCCCCTTGGCTGCAGGCATTTGGCAGCTGCACTGGAGGTGGGTGTTCTCAGGTGCCCACTCGTGTTGCCCTGGTCTTGTGTCTCACGCGCTGTTGGTGGTGCACCCTCCTCACAGGGACTTCCCGGCGGCAGCAGAGGACGCATTCACCCTGCCAGTGTACTTCTCTTCTGACTGGCTGAATGAGTTCTGGGACGCGCTCGAGGTGGACGACTACCGCTTTGTGTACGCAGGGCCTGCAGGCAGCTGGTGAGACCACAGATGTGGGGGTGGCGGGCTGGGAGGCTCAGGGTGGCAAGAGGGGGCTGCTTGGCACAGGCCTCACAGTGGGTGCCTCGAGACCAAGGGGCCACCCTCCTTCAGTTGGAGGCCTCTAGGGTGCCAAGCAAAGCCCGTACCAGCTCCTGCAGGCACGAACCAGACGCTCTTGCTGCTGCAGGTCCCCATTCCACGCTGACATCTTCCGCTCCTTCAGCTGGTCCGTCAACATCTGTGGGAGGAAGAAGTGGTTCCTCTTCCCACCAGGGCAGGAGGAGACTCTGCGGGACCGCCACGGCAGCCTGCCCTACGACGTCACCTCCCCGGCACTCTGCGACACACACCTGTACCCGCAGGGCCGGCTTGCTTGCCCACCCCTGGAGGTCACGCAGGAGGCGGGCGAGATGCTGTTTGTGCCCAGTGGCTGGCACCACCAGGTACACAACCTGGTAAGGCAGTGAGGCGCCCTGAGGCCTGGATCCAGGATGTGCTGCTCTCCTGCTCCTGTCAGGGGCCTTCCTGCAGGAAGACGGCAGCACCTCCTCCCCACTGTCCCAGCCAGAGCGGGGCTGGGATGGGGTGGCTCGTGGGTGAGGCTGGTCCCTTCACAAGGTGGCATCACTGAGGCCCAGCCTGTTTCACCCCTGCTGGTCCCTAGATCTACTTGCCCTGGGTTCGCTGTGGCATGAGGTGGTCCCAGTCTAATACCCACTTCCCTGCTGAGCAAGCCCCACGGTGAGACAGGAGGGCCCTTCTGGCTGCAGAGGGCTGGACCCCACAGTGGGTTCCTGGTGCAGGAGGTGTGGGCTGGTTGGGGGCTCCTGCCGTGGGTTCAGGCCTGCCCGCACCGTGCCCCTTCCAGGATGACACCATCTCCATCAACCACAACTGGGTCAATGGCTTCAACCTGGCCAGCATGTGGTGCTTCCTGCAGCAGGAGCTGCGTGCCGTGCAGGAGGAGGTCAGCGAGTGGAGGGACTCCATGCCAGACTGGCACCACCACTGCCAGGTGGGGCGGCTGCACACGGAGGCCACTGGGGCCAGGTCCTCGTGAGGCCTGCAGGCTCAGGGTGGGTGTGGCTGTGAGGCCGAGCTGCGGGTAGGCGCGGGCTGTGAGAGTGTGGAGTAGCCTGGGCTGAGCCCCCGGGAGGCTTTTGGGCTGTGTGGCTCAGACCCCCTGTTCCCCGCCCGGCTTCTCAGTGCCTCTGTCTTACTGGTCCCCTCTTCGTCCTTGGAGAATGGGCGCATGTCGGGTTCTTTGCAGCCTGCACTGTGTCCTCAGCTCACTGGCCTCTTCCTTCTGCGCAGGTCATCATGAGGTCCTGCTCAGGCATCAACTTTGCAGAGTTTTACCACTTCCTCAAGGTCATTGCCGAGAAGAGGCTTCTGATCCTGGGGGAGGCGGCCGCCAGGGATGATGCTGGGTTGAGCTTCGAACAGGCAGCCTTTGATGCTGGGCGCCTCACAGACGTGCTGGCCTCCTTGGTTGCGCACCCCGACTTCCAAAGAGTGGACACCAGCATGTTTTCACCACAGCCCAAGGAGCTGCTGCAGCAGCTGAGGAAGGCTGTTGCTGCCACCTCCGCCCCATAGCACCTGTCGAGAGGACAGAAGGATGGGCGGAGGAGAGGATGAGAGCCAGCCTCCTGCTCCAGGGCCCTTCCAGAAATAAAGAGCGCCCTCCCTATGACCTGGGGCCCACCCCTGTCGAGCCTCGTGGCCTGGCTATTCATGGCCACTGGGCTGTTTTCGGGTGAGGCCCAATGAGGTCAGGAACCCAAGATGGGATGTGGCCCTTCTGACCTGCAGCAGGCCTGCTGGGAGCTCAGGGGTGGCGCCATGACCCCTTTCTCTCGGGGGCCCTGCCTTCTTAGGCTGGGATGCCTAAGCTGACAGGAGGCCATGTCTTCTCTGGAGGCTCCTCTCTCTAGACCAGCCCTATCCCCTCATCTCAGGCCTAGGTGGCCACCCTTGGCTCTGCCCTGTGGGCTCAGGGAGGGGTTGGAGCAGTGCTGTGCAAGCTCACCAGGGCCTCCAGGCAGGGCTGGGGCTGGCCCATCCTCCAGGTGATAGGCTGCAGAGTCAGTGGCCTGCGCCTTTATGGGTCCCCAGAGGGGATGGCCAGGCTGGGCTGGCCTCTAAGCAGGGCTGGCAAAGAGCCTTGTCCTCGGCCACTTCCCTGCCTTCAAGGTAGCCTTTGCAGGGCCTGTGGGCAGCTGGAGAAGCCATTGATGTTGGGGTGGAATCCCATCTGCTGCTGAATCCACACTTGGGCCTGGAGAGGCTGTGTCTGTTGTGCACTCACAGCTGGGTCTTCCCAAGGATGCTGTTCTCAGGAGCGGTGTGTCTCTGGCCCCTCTGCACACTGGGCATGATGGAGGTGTGGGCAGGCTTGTCCAGGCCAATCAAGGGTTCTGTCTGTTCAGCAGTGAATAGCCCAGGCCTGTGGTGGGGAATGGACTCTTGTGGGGTCCTCCTGCAGAGGATGCCCCCAGGCCTCAGCCCTCTAGCAATCCACAGTATGTGGAGACTGGCACTCTGCCAGCCCTGCCCTTGACCCAGAGGCCAGCATGTTTTCACCTGGTCAGCTGCCTCACCCCAGCAGGGGAGAAGGCATCCGAATCCACAGAGGTGGCACATGCCATGGCTTGTGCATTGCCTGCCTGTGGCATCTGCTGGGGCTGCTGGCACTTAGCTAGGATGGAAGCCTCCAAGAAAGGCAGGCAAGGGTCTGCTCTGTTCAGTGAATCATGCAAAGCGTTTGCAGAGACACCTTTACACAGTAGGTGCTTCATATGTGTGTATCGAATGAGCTCCAGCCAACAACTTTCTAGGGACCCGTATGCTGGGACCCTGGTCTGCGTGGGGATGCTCTGAGATGTCATCCAGCCTCCTACAGATGGAGCCCGCGCTGCCCAGACCACGCATGGCAAAGGTGCCTTGTAAGGGAGGAGGGGAGGTAAAACATGCATGGCTGTAGCCTCGCCAGGGCCAGACCCAGGCTGAGTGTGGGATGTGGCTCACCCGTTTAGCTGCTCTGCCAACCTCTGAACTTGGGCCTCTTGGCACCCCACCACTCAGGCACAGGCTGAGACCAAAGGTGTGGGTTTGTGCCCCGAGGACTTGTGACGAGGTGCCTCTGCTGGAGCTGGGGCTCCCCTTTGAGCAGCAGGTTCAGCACCTGCAGGGGAGGGTCACAACCTAGTGGGCACCAGTTGTCCTTCAGCTTCTGCAGACCCCCAGGCGGCCAGGGCCCAGACCAAGCCCCCAGATCCTTGGTGACAGCCCCAGCAGGAAGAGCTCTCGGTGTTGAAACAGGATTAGAGGGAATTGTCCCAGATGTCTGTGTCTTCCAGTCTGTTAGCTGAGTGAGGGTAGTGTGTTCTGCTTGAGATCATGTATTAAGACCATAGTCACAAACCGTGGTAGAGGCAAGGGGTGCCAGCTAGCGGCTCAAGGTAGCACAGGTCACAGTCTCTTCCTGTCCAGCCTGTGTGGTCCTGCGCTCCTGACCTGGGTGTGAGGACCCTCGTGCTTCTGCAGTCAGAAGGCAGTGCACAGACATTCCCGAGGGCCTTGCTGGCCTCAGTCACTTTTTCTTGCTTAAAGCAAACATCATTTCCGGGCGTCATGGAACGGAGTGGCCAACGGCTTGCAGAGCAACGTGCCCAAGTTTTATTGTGACTACTGCGATATATACTTCACCCATGACTCCATCTGTGAGAAAGACACACTGCAGTGGTAGGAAACACAAAGAGAATGTGAAAGACGACTATCAGAAATGGATGGAAGAGCAGGCTCAGAGCCTGATTCACACAACAACAGCTGCATTTCCACAAGGAAAGATACCTCCTACTCCATTCTCTGCTCCTCCTCCTGCAGGGGCGATGAAACCATCTCCCCCAAGTCTTCCGGGTCCTCCTCGCCCTGGGATGATGCCAGCACCCCATATGGGGGGCCCTCCGCCTCCTGGGATGATGCCAGTGGGACCTGCTCCTGGAATGAGGCCACCCATGGGAGGCCATATGCCAATGATGCCTGGGCCCCCAATGATGAGAACTGCCCGTCCCATGATGGTGCCCATTCGGCCTGGAATGACTCGACCAGACAGATAAGGAGAGAGGGGAGGCCTCATTCTATCAGCTTTATGTTACCTGTTGGGCTTCACCAGGAGATCATGCTGCCGTGATGCTGGGTTTTCTAAACAGCATAAGGAAGACTTGCTCCCCTGTCTGATCAAAGAGAATAGTTTTGGAGGGGAGAGTGGGGCAAAAAGATGCAGTTTTCATTTGTATTGGGAAATGTGAAAATAAAACTGTCAACTCCTTTAAAAAAAAAACAAACATCGAGAATCTCGGGCTGGGCTGTTAGGCAGCAAGGAAGCAAATGCCAGCAGCTCTGGGGGAGACAGAGCCCTCCACAGGGCAACATGTGAACTGCAGCCAGCATCGAAGGCTCTCTCATTACCCACGGTGACTCCTTTAGCCTACCTGGCTCCAGCTTGGGGAAAAAATGCTGACATCAGCGCCAGGTGAGGTGTGGGGCAGCCGCTGTGCGGAGTGTGGCTAGGCAGCAGTTTGAGGTGTCAGGCAGGATGCCCCTTCCCCAAGTATGCCGCCCTGGGAGCCTGTGTGGGGTCGTAGGCATGATGTCAGGACACCTTTGCAAAGGGAATTGCACCTCTGCAAGAGGCTGAACGGGCTGGGCTGCATTGCCCTGAGAAGCAGCCTCCTTCCTGAGTGCGAGGTGAGGAACTGCACAGGTGCAGAGATTAGCCCCTGCCCTTTGTGTGTCATCCCTGCCAAGTGTTGAGGAAGGACAGGCAGGCCGCAGCTACCTGACACTCCTGAGGAAAGGGGTCAGAGAAACTGCAGACGCTCAAGACCTAAGGCTGCATGGGAGCCGCACAAAGGTAGACATACTTGCAAGTATGGGGACGATGGCTGTGCACCCCACCATGCCTGGGCGAGTGCGTGCAGTTGCCCAGATCCCTTGGGGAGTGGGACCTATGGGACCCCACTGGAAGACTGGAAAAGTCAGGCTGTGCTTTGTCTGCAGACTATGCTGGGAGGACACAGGGCCAGAGAGTATGACGGGGCCTATGGGCACCCCCAGCACATGCCTGCCCTGGCCTTGCAGTTGTGATTGGCCAGAATCCATGGAGGCAGAGACAGGAGCCCCAGGTCACATCATTGCCAGCTGTGGTAAAGCCAGGCTCTCTGCATCCAGAGGACTGTGGCTTCCAGAAGGTGCCTGCCCCAGTGACCAACATCATCCTCGTGCTTGTGCCCCTCACCCAGCTGACCCAGTAGAAGAAGCAGCTCCTTGCCAGCTACCCTGGAGCCCACATTCCAGGTCTGTGACATCTCTGATGGCCACATCCAAGGCCATGTCCTTTCCTTTGTTCATCCATGCTCCAAGTGTCAGCCTCAGCCCTGTCCACCACTGTGTGGTTGGTTGTGGCAGGTAATGGTGCCAGTGTCCCAAGAATTCCAACCACCAGCTGCATCCCCGGGCAGAGAGAAGGCAGGCCTTGGTTTCCAAGTCAGTGACTCCTTTCACTGGCCCAGAAGACTGCGTTTCCCAGCCCTGGCTTCACAGGCTTCCCTTCCTCCTGTCCAGGGAAGGGGAGGGGGCATGTGGGTGGGGAAAGACATCATCAGAATTGCAGGGCTTATCCAGGATATGATCGCTTGGTCCAGATGGTCAGTCATGTGGTCAATGCCAGTGGCTGCAACCTCGGGCCACTGGAGGAGTATGGACAGTCCCTTTCCCTAAGCCCTCAGCCTGAGCTTGGCCAAGATAGGGACCGAGGTGTCCAGTGTCCTGTGGTCTACCCCCAAACTCTGCAGCCCTGGAGGCAGGAACTCCAGGGACCTGGGCCTCTCACCCATCTGGGAGCTGACCCTGGAAGTCCTTTCCACAGGTCCCAGCTGCCCTCCCACTGCAGGCTCTGACATACAGGAAAACAGCTGGAGCTAGGCTCCTACCCTGTTCCTGTGGGAGAGCCAGACCCTGTCCTGAAGCTAGAGGAAAATCCGCAGGCAGAATCCTGCAGAAATGCACCCCTGCATAGACCCTGCCTGGGGCCACATGCCCCAAACAGACTCCACCTGGACCCCACACCCAAACAGCCCCATCTGGCTGGTGGATCCTGGCCCTCCTTCCTCTGCAAGCCTCCCAGAGGTGCTCTGTTGACTCGCTGACTCCTCACCCCAGCCTGTGCTTGAGCCCAGGCCACAGACTGCACCACCCCTGGTCCTTGGTCTCCCAGCCCCACAGGCTGCTTTCAGTTCAGAAGGAACTGCAGGCAATTCAAATATGTGGAAGCAATCAAGGCACTTCAAACTTAAGAAATAAAAAGAGGCCGGGCGCGGTGGCTCAAGCCTATAATCCCAGCACTTTGGGAGGCCGAGGCGGGTGGATCACGAGGTCAACAGATTGAGACCATCCTGGTCAACATGATGAAACCCCGTCTCTACTAAAAATACAAAAAAAAAAAAATTAGCTGGGCATGGTGGTGTGTGCCTGTAATCCCAGCTACTCGGGAGGCTGAGGCAGGAGAATTGCCTGAACCCAGGAGGCGGAGGTTGCAGTGAGCCGAGATCGCACTATTGCACTCCAGCCTGGGTAACAAGAGCGAAACTCCATCTCAAAAAAAAAAAAAAAAAGAAATAAAAAGGGACATTA